CAATAATAGCGGGAGATTTTGACATTGCATTGTTAATATTTGATGGATCAATCAGATAGAAAATTAATAGGGACATCTATGATTTGAATTCAGACCTGGAACAAGTAAACTCAGCGAATATTTATAGAGTTGTCCACCTCAGGTCCACAGAACATACATTTTTCTCAGTATCATATTATACTTACTTTGAAAGTGACCACATAATTGGAAGTAAATCATTCTTCAGCATTTGCATAGCATCTCACAGACTTAAATGAAATATTGGTTGGCTGTTTGTTTGTTATTTTCTTCCCTTATTCCTTCCTGTCGCTGTTGTTAAGTACAAATATTGGCATAAAAGAGGTTTTTAATACTTTTTTAATATTGCATTCCAGCCTGGGCAATAGAGCAAGACTCCTGTTCTCTCTCCCCCTTTTTCTTTCTCCTTCTTTCTTTCTTTCAAAAAAAAAAAAAAGAAACCCCTAAAAAACATAAACCAGAAAGGGAAAATATTGGCAAATATGACTAAATTAACACAAGCAGTCTATATTTAGAAGACGTTATTATCAAAGTGTGAAGACCAGCTCCAAACTGTGAATAGACTGTTGCAACATATATAAACAACCATTAACTTTACAAATTAATTTTCAAAACCCACCCAAACCACAATCCCATGGAAAAACAGGCAAAAGACCCAACGTTTCCAGAAGAGGACACACAAATGGCCAAGACACAGATGAAAATGTGGTAGACCTCCCATGAAATCAGATTTAAAACTATTGTGATCTGCTTCACTGTTTTCATTTTAAAAAAAATTAAAAATCTGACAATTCCAATATAGATGAAGGCATGGAGAAACAGGGATCTTCAGACACCACTTGGGGAAGTGTGATGTGAACAATAACCTTGGAGACTTGTTAAAGATGTGTGACTCTCATAACGCAGCAGTCCTGCTTTAACTACATATGCCCTCATAAGTGGGCATAGGGACACCCACAAGTTTGTTCACAGAAGCAAGACAAATCTTTGACAACAGGAGAATGGATTAATGCAAGCAAACTATACAGCAGTTCAGATACGTGAGATAGCTGTTTTCTTTACATGACTATTTCTCAAAAAAAAAAAAGCAAGCTGTTAGGTGATGTGGACAGTATAATACTGTTTGTACAAAATTAAAAGATGTAAATCCCACAGTCTATCTTGTTTATGAATATGTACATATGTGGTAATAGTTGAAAAGGGTTGGTGGAAATGCTGAACACCAAATTCCTGGGGGGTGCTCCCTTTGGCATGTGGTAGAGGGCAATGAGATTGGGAATGGGAATACAGGGGGTTTCAATGCTCACTATTGATCTCCTCTTAGACAAAAGTCAAACACAACTTGTGTGTTTGTTTTGGTGTCCTAGAGCAGAGGAATCATGCTTACTTTGGCTCGGCGTGTCAGGAGTTTTGGAGTTTGGACTTGGTGTGCCTTGTCAGCTTGGGTATGCAGGAGCCATATTCCCCAACCCCAGGTACTTCCTCCATTTGCACAGTGCTAGGGGCAGGTCAGGGACATCCATTTCCTGCTGGCATCTGTGACTGTTGTGATCCTTGGTTTACCCCAAGGGACAGGGATGGACAGTGACTTTTACAGACTCTAGGTCCCTGAGATTGTAGGCCTGGCTGCCTTTCACAGGGAAAGGGAGACATTTGTTTTTTTATTTTTCTCTCATGCTTAAGTTTTAAGAACACAGCACAGACCCTGCTTTTGGACACCTGTATACCCCATTTAAGGGACTGGTTCGAGCATCCGTCAATGCAGATTGGGGGCAGAACTGAGGGAGCTGTGAAGAGCCCCAACAAAGTCTCTCTGAAGTAGGAAATTTCTGGGGACTTCAGTGGCTTCCATCTTGTGCTGGTTAAGCTTCCTATATTATGGATGGGAGACCTGTGGAAGTGCTTGGGTTGTGTCCAAGCCCATTGTCCCCATGGCCATTGGCTCTGGGCTCTGCTGTGAGTCCAATGGTGGTAGGGGGAGCAGATGAACTTGGGGCAGCAAGGGTGGTTGAAGGAGGCCAGCTCCTGCTGGCATAGCACTCTCTCCTCTGTGCCTGACAAGCCATGCTCACTTCAACCGTGAGGGCGTTTTCTTTCGCCTGTTTGTCACCTACATTTTTTGAAACCTGTCTAGTGACCTTCCTTGAGGAGGGAGCTGCTGTGCCTGGCTGTGTTGAGGGGTCTGCCAGGTGGCCTGGCTCAGACCGACTCCAGTTATGGGGCAGAGTGGAGGGAGACACAGTTTCCCACAAACTCTGGGAAACCTCTGGCAGGTCTCGGACCTCAGCCTCTTCATGTGTAAAATGGAATCTGCGTCTTACAATTCCTCCCAGCTCTAAATGGGATAGAGAAGATTGTGCTTATCTTAAACTGGGGCCTTTGAGCTATAGCTGGCCCTTTGGCATGTATTGTTTGGTTTGCACATTAAAAAAAAGTTGAATGAGTTGCTGATTTCACATAAAACAGAGATTCTACCTTCTCTTGAAAAGTGGGAAGCTGCGGCTCGCACACGATACTTGCTGCTGAGACTCGTGGCATCTGCCCATGCCTTTGAGGCTGTCTGACCATTTTGTTTGTTTATGGAAATGCTGACCTGGAAGACGTTTCAGTAAAAGCACAGGTTCTGGAGCCACCCAGACCTGGTGCCAATGTATTGACCTCTCTAAGATTCAGTTTCCTTACCTCTCAATGCTGCTTGTTACACGCTGCCCCTGAGGGTGCTGTAGGAGGATCACCTACACTTATCCAAGTAAGGTGTTTAGCACTGTGCCTGGCTGTTTCTTATAATCATTGTCGTGATCATAATGCACATAACAAATTGTCCCAAATTGGAATGGGATTTGAAGTCTGGCTGTACATGAAGGTAGATGACCAGATTCCCATTCTGACGGTAGGATCTGAGGTATGGTTTAATGTGCATAGGAGGGTTTGTTTGTGGGGAAGGAGCTTTATGGCAGAAAATGGCTGTCCCAGCAGAGCTTATCTCTTGTGGTGGTCTAGGTAAAAATGATGGTCATCAGGGGTCTGGACAAAGAGATTGGGCAAGAGAGCATGAGGGGTCATGTTCTTGAGTCATCAGAGGCTCTGGCCGGCTGGGGCCTAGAGCCGCGGCAATGCAGGCATTGTGGCAGAGGCCTAAATAGTGGCCACTGGCGACGAGTCTGGGACACCTGGCCACCCAAACTTAAAAACACTGTTGCCTCCCACCCCCCTAGCTCTGCTTCTTCCACAGAAACACGAAGCTCTGAGTACCTCTTCCCAGGCCCCCGACTTCCTGCATCCTTGGCACACCAGAATTGATATATACTCTAGGTTTCTTGGGACACATAGGCTACTATGAGCCTTGTCCATAAGCCAGATCCAAGACTGAGGGCTTGCTTTGTAGTGGAGGGGATGTGGATTAGACAGGCAGAAGCATTTTCTCACAGTGAGGTGGCTGAACATTGAAATACCTTTCCGAGGATGAAGGCCCAAGCCGAATGCCCTCTTTGTACCTTTCTTCCCATCAACTACTTCAGTGAGGGCTAAATCATATGGGAAAAGAACCCAGAGCTTCTCAGATGGCAGATCCTGTTAAACCCCAACTCTCATTCACATTCACTCTTGCTTATTTTTTTATTTGAGAGAGAGACAGGGTCTCATTCTGTTGCCCAGGCTGGAGTGCACTGGTGCAATCATGGCTCACTGCAGCCTTGAACTCCTAGGATCAAAGATCCTCCCACCTCAGCCTTCGTAGCTGGAACTACAGGCATGTGCCACTGTGCCTGGCTAATTAAAAAAAAATTTTTTTTTTTGATAGACACAGTCTTACTATGTTGCTCAGGCTGGTCTTAAACTCCTGGTCTCAAGTGATCCTCCTGCCTTGGCCTCCCAGAGTGCTGGAATTACAGGTGTGAGCCACCATGCCCAGTCATTCTCACTTTTTTCATTAAAAAAATCTGTCCCAGTGTCATTTTGCGTCACTAGGAGGGGCTTCTTGACTTGGTTAGTTTTCCTAGGAAAGTTTTGCTAGGGGTAGGGTGCTGACAGACAAGCAGATGGACTCCCTGGATTCTGCTGCCATACCTGGCATTGAATAATGTCTCCACGGAGGACTAAACCAGAGGGGACGGCTTGAGACTGAGGTTTTGCAAAAAGCAAGAGCTTCTGTTAGTGAGTTTTCTTCAGCCTCAGCACAGGCTGCTGGAGCTGGAGCAGGTCCGAAGTGACTCAGTCAGATGTTCAAGACTAGATGGAAGGATGGGCATCAACCAGCCCCTGAGTGCTGTGTCACCAGGAGTGAGCCCTTGCTAATTTCTGCTTATAATGCCTTGGGCAGGGGGTTGGGGGTTGCTGCTATCTTCCCCTTATCAGTGTGGCTAAGATAGGGTTGGCATATCCTGAGTGGGCGCTGGGAAACTCTAAGATCTCCCTGGTTGTGCCTTTGCATGGAAATGTCACTGCATCTGATGCAGAATGAGGGACTTTAAAGAGAGGACATCTCAGATGACCAGTAATTGGGAGGACCTTTTGGAAATTCTTGTCTGCTTTGCAGGAATTGAGGTGCTCATTTGGTTTCAAGTCACTTTGATCTCCCTGGTGATGTTTAGAACCAATCACATTGCCTTTTAAATCTCTGTTCTCAAAGCAGACAACTTGTCCACTGTTGTAGGTGGATGCAGTTCTCTCAAAGATTCCTTTGGCTTAAATCAATGCTCCTTTAAGACAATCCTTGAGACACCTCTGAAGGCAAGGAGATCGCCACAAGGTTCCTGGACTAGTATGGTCCCTTTGGCTTGGTGCTTAAACCAAGACGTATCCCAATTCCTACCCCCATCCCAGCATAAGCTCTTGGCAATAAATGCCAGCCTCCCCCTGCCCCTAGCCTCCACCCAGCCTGCATTCACTCCTTTTCCTGGCTTTAGCCCAGCTCTTCCCTTCAATTGTGACATCTTTAATGTGGCTCCTGTCCCAGGCTGTTCCCTCCTCACCCCCTGGCTTACCTGAGGTTCATGTCCCCCTTCATGGCCAGACTGAAGACATTGGACAGGTTCCCTCCAGGTGAGCAGCCACAGACGAGGATGGCCAGCGCCTCAATTTTGTTCAGCCGGAAGACCTTGCCCAGCACAAAGGCTGTGAGGGGCATGATGCCATACTGTGCCACCAGGGCGATGGCTAGCCCTTTCGGCTTCCAGAAGTGAGCCTTGATCTTACTGAACTCCATGGTGCAGCCCAGTGAGAGCATGATGAAGAACAACATGAACACCAGGATGATGCTCAGTGCCAGATCTGTGGGGCGCTTGCCAAAGTTGGGTGGCAGGGTGAAGTTGAATGTGGTAGACACGTTGTGGGCCTCCATCCTTCCTGTGAGGCCACGGAAGACCACTCCTCCTTCTCCAGCTGACTCCGTTTCTTGTGCAGTTCTTGCTGGATGTCTTCTTTAATCACGTCTCAGGACAGAGAGTTTCTGGACAAAAGCTCTGGGCAAATAGAAGGGTTATGCAACTAGCTGAGCTATTTCTCTGGCTGTGGCCCCAAAGAGGAACAGCCCAGAATTTTATCTGCCTGCCCTACCTCTCCCAAGCTGCCTGGCCTCTGCTGACTTCCTGGGTGCTACTCTCTCCTCCCTTGTCACTTTGCTGCTTCTGGGCTTATTTCTCCCCTTTGCCCTCCACTGAGTGTGCCTCATAGGCATTCGGTTCCTGGGGACCTGCCCAGGGCCCACCTGAATCCCGGTCCAGTCCCTCTTCCCTGCAGCTGCTTGATTTTTGAATCCCAGCTCAGCCTTGATTTTTTAGTTTCTTGGTTGGGGGAATCATTTGCCCCCAGAACCCATGAAAGTGAAAGGAGTTGAATGTTGCCTTTGGTTTCTGGATATAGGTAGCGTAGCTCAAGGGGGTGTGGGATAGGCAATGTCACTGGCCTCCAGGAGGGGATGTGTCCATGACCCGTCTCCTGGGAGCTGAGAGGATGCCAGTGTCCTCCCTCCCTGTGCTAGGGAAACTTTTGTCTTATCCCCAAACTGGGACCATATGAGTCCCAGAGAGGAACACTGGAGGTGGCTGCTCCATGCTCCCTGGAATGCTTACCTCCAGAGGGAGGAACCAGCTGGGATGGTGGGGTGGGGGCTCTCAGGAAACCTGGAGGCTCTTTCCCCGAAGAGCAACCTGAGGAAACCATGGCTGTGGAGATTGGTTTGTGCCCGAGGAGGCCCACTGCTTGGCAAACTTGTTGAGAAGGAAGCAGGAATGCAGTCTTTTCTTCCTGACTCCCTAAGGAGTTTACTTTTGCACCGGGCCTGTGTATTTCAGGCTGGGAGCCAGCTTGGGGTATGCAGTAGCAGCAGAGAGAGGCGGGCATGCCTGGCGCAGGGTCACCTAGTGTGCAAGGTTATCCTGAGCATAGCTCTTTCCTTCTATCTCCACTGCAGGGGTGGGACAAGGGAGGGTTCTCCTTCAGAAATACAATTGCCTCTTGGCTTGGTTGGAAGCCAGGAGACCTGGGCGGGGTCTGAAACAGGTGATTAGGCTTTGTATGTAGGACTCCAGAGGGCAGAATAGGGACCAGAATGTGAACCACTGTTGAGTGGAGGTGGGGACAGATTTTGGCTTGGTGCAAGGTACTACCTGAAAATGAGAGCTCTCCAAGAATGGCCTTGAGGCCTCTGGAACCCCGCTTGGATAAGGGCTGCATGGCAGGATCTGTACATAGTGCGTCCTCTCCACGTAAATGCTGCTCCCTGGGCTTGTGCAGTGCACAGCCTGTGGGGTCGTTTACTGTGGCCCTGGGTGACATGAACTTCAAGCCTCTTTTCCTCTGAGAGTCTCTGTAATGATTTCCTGGTGCTTGATTTGAGCTGGTATCAAAGGAAGGGCAAGCAGAGGGCTGGGCACTGGATGTGATGCCTGGACTGAGCATTCCCACAGGGTCAGATTGAGTCTCTAAGGAGGCTGCTTCCTCTCCCTGGGGCTAATTAGAAGGGAAAAGAGTTGCTAGGGGAGGATTCTTGATCATTAACTGAGTACCAGCCACTGTGGGAAGTTAAAAAACTATGTAATTCATGTTCTTGTTCTCAGGGAACTTTTGGTTTGTATAAGACCACAGGCGGCCAGATGGTACATAATGCAACATGGAAGCACATGAGGGTGGAGGCCATGTAGTTGGTGGAAGCCAGGTACAGTTGTTCAGGTTGGGCACTACGCAATGCTAGGGACGCCACTCCCTAGATGTCTTGTGCAACTGTACATGAGGCCTTGAAGTAAAAAAAAGACGTTAGCTTTTTATACATTTGCCTGATGCCAAAGGGTAAAGAGGAATTGACCAATATCTGTTAAAGATCAGGGTCTGGGCATGTGTCTACTGATCCAATTGTGCACATCCAAAGAGAAGAGCTTCCATGAACACGCCTGTAATCTGGATTCTAAACCATGTAGTCTCTATCAACGCTACCTCCTCACCTCTTCTCAGCAACTCAAAATTCTTCCACCTCCTACTGTGAGTTTTTCCCTTTGAGAAAACACAGTTTCTTGCCCTGGCTGCCCCTCCCCCCACTCCTTCCTATTCACTCTGTTCCTAGCAATGTGCCTTTGCAGAGAATGGAAAAATCTCTTCCAGGAACCTGACACCCTCCATTCTTTCCCCTGTATCCCCTCTGAATCTACTCCAATTCCATACAATTTTTGGGGCAGGAAGATCTTTTGTATTACGTTAATACTATCCGAGAGTTGTTGAGCACATTCTGTGTGATGGATGCTGTGATTTAAATTACATTTCTTTTTAACTTTTATTTTAGATTTAGGGGTACATGTATAGGTTTGTTGTTACAGGCAAACTTGTCATGGGAGTTTGGTGCACAGCCCACTTTGTCACCAGGTACTAAGCATAGTACCTCATAGTTCTGATAGTTATTTTTCCTGATTCTGTCCCTTCTTCCACCCTCCTTTCTCAAGTAAACCCCAGTGTCTGTTTTTCTCCTCTTCCTGCCCATTAGTTCTCATATAATATTTGGTTTTCTGTTCCTGTGTTTGTTTGAAAAGATAATGGCCTCCAGCTCCATCTATGTTCCTGCAGAGAACATGATCTCATTCTTTTTCCTGGCTGCATAGATTCCATAGTGTATATATACCACGTTCTCTTTATCCAGCCTACTGTTGATGGGCATTTAGGTTGATTCCTTGTCTTTGCTATTGTGAATGGTGCTTCAATGAACACATGTGTCCATGTGTCTTTATGGTAGAATGACTTATATTCCTTTGGGTATATATATATATATATGCGATTGCTGAGTTGAATGGTAGTTCTGCTTTTAGTTCTTTGAGAAATTGCCACACTATTTCCACAATGGTTTAACTAATTTACAATCCCATCAGCAGTTGTATGTGTTCCCGTTTCCTTGAATGCAAATGGGCTAAATGCCCCAATTAAAAGGCACAGAGGGACTGACGCCAAGATGGCTGAATAGCAAAAGCTCCGGAGCGCAGTTCCCAGTGAGAGAGACGCAGAAGGCGAGTGATCTCTGCATTTCCAACCATGGTACCAGGTTCATTTCAACGGGACTGGTTGGACAGTGGGTGTAGCACTAGGAGGGCAAACCACAGCAGGGCGGGACACTGCCCCACCCTGGAAGTGCAACTGGATGGAGGATTGGGGACTTTACCCCCTTGGCTCTCTGGTTCAGATACTGAGTTTCTCCCATGGCCATTGCAACCCACATTCCAGGAGAATGCCGCCAGGTTGAAAAGCACCACGAGTTACAAACACAGATCTGAGTGACACTCTGACCAGCCTGGTGCCATGAGTTGTCAGCACAGATCTGGTTGGAAGTTTTGACTAGTGCCAAGAACGCCTGCAAGACAGATCTACCTGCCCCCCCAGGAAGAGGGAGAGCTGAAAGCAGGGAGACAGGTGATATGGCTTGGCAGGTCCCACACCTACAAAGACCAGCAAACTGAAGCCCTCTCACTTGAGAGTTTTGCAGCCAGCACATCAGTCTGAGCTCAACCCAGGATGATCAAGCTCTGTGGTGGGAAGAGCATCTGCCATTGTGAAGGCAAGTCTAATCTCACCTGTGTAAACAAAAGCCAGAGGAAGTCTACACAGCAGCTGGGCTGAGTCCGAGGCAGCACAGCAGTGCCTCTACAGGCAGACAAGGGACAGACTGTCTCCTCAAGTGGCTCCCTGACCCCTGAATAACCAAAAAAATGCCTCATACAGGAGAGCTCAGCCTGACACCTGGTGGGTACCTTTCCGGACGAAGCTACCAGAGGGAAGATCAGGCAGAAATCCTCGCTGCTCCTCACTCTCCATGGGTGATTCCCAGGGAAGCAAGGTCTGAAGTGGACCTCCAGCAGTCCTAGAGCAGAGGGGCCTGACTGTTAGAAGGAAGACTACAAAACAAAAAGAAATAACTTCAACATCAACAGAAAGGATGTCCACTCAGAGACCCCAACCAAAATCACCAACTTCAAAGATCAAAGGTAGATAAACCCATGAAGATGGGAAGAAACCAGTGCAAAAAGGATGAAATCATCAAAGACCAGAACGCCTCTTCTCCTTCAAGAGATCACAACTCCTCACCAGCAAGGGAATAAAACAGGAAGGAGAATGAGTTTGATGAATTGACAGAAGCAGGCTTCAGAAGGTGGGTAATAAAAAACTTCTCTGAGATAAAGGAACAGGTTCTAACCCAATGCAAAGAAACTAAAAACCTTGAAAAAAGGTTAGATGAAATGCTAACTAGAATAACCAGCTTAGAGAAGAACATAAATGACTTGATGGAGCTGAAAAACACAGCATGAGAACTTTGCAAAGCATACACAAGTTTCAATAGTTGAATCGATCAAGCAGAAGAAAGTATATAAGAGATTGAAGATCAACTCAATGAAATAAAACAAGAAGGCAAGATTAGAGAAAAAAGAGTGAAAACAAATGAACAGAGCCTACAAGAAATATGGGATTATGTGAAAAGACCTAATCTATGCTTGGTCGGTGTAACTGAATGTGATGGGGAGAATGATTCCAAGCTGGAAAACACTCTTCAGGATATTATCCAGGAGAGCTTCCCCAATCTAGCAAGGCAGGCCAACACTCAAATCCAGGAAATACAGAGAACACCACAAAGATACTCCTCAAGAAGAACAACCCCAAGGTGCATAATTGTCAGATTCACCAGGGTTGAAATGAAGGAAAAAATGCTAAGGGCAGTCAGAGAGAAAGGTCAGGTCACCCACATGGGAAGCCCATCAGACTCACAGTGGATCTCTTGGCAGAAACCCTACAAGCCAGAAGAGAGTGGGGGCCAATATTCAACATCCTTGAAGGAAAGAACTTTCAACCCAGAATTTCATATCCGGCCAAACTAAGCTTCATAAGTTAAGGAGAAATAAAATCCTTTACAGACAAGCAAATGCTGAGAGATTTTGTTGCCACCAGACCTGCCTTACAAGAGCTCCTGAAGGAAGCACTAAACATGGAAAAGAACAACCAGTACCAACC